AATGATTCTTCAGAAATGAGAGTTCAACAAAAATATGTCGCATCAGAAGCGCGGGGGATACAGGCGCCCTCCAAGGCTCTCGTGGCGCCCTCGCCTCCGAGGGCGCGGTCGGTGCCCCGGGGCTCGACGCCCGGGGCGCCCGCCCACCCCCGCCCCAAATGTGGGCGTTGCCTTCCGCGCGCAGCAGCCAGCCCCACTGCCCTCCCCCCCCCCCCTGGGCTTCGGCGCTCTCGCAGGTAGAGGAGGAGGAGGAGGAGGAGGAGGAGGGAGGAGGAGGAGGAGGAGGAAGAGGGAGGAGGAGGAGGAGGAGGAGGAGGAAGAGGGAGAAGCAGGAGGAGGAGGAGGAGGACGAGAGGAGAGAGGAGAGAGGAGATCTAGCGGGATCCACCGGGCCAACCTCCAGAGAATCGAAGAACGACTGACGGCGGCGATGAGGACGCAATGCATATTCCCAGGCCGTCTTTGGGCGCCAAGGCAGCGCGATGAAACCAAATCACCAAGCTGAAACTGACGGTGTCGCTCCAGCTCCCTTGCGAGCCTGCCGTGCACGTTGGCTCCCATTGCCATGTCGCGCACAAGCTGCCACCACACGCCCGTAGCTGACGGCGCCTGTCTTGCCACTGACGCTTCTCGCACAAGCTGACCCCAGTTTTTCTCGCACTGCCCACAGCGTCTGCCACTGCCTGCTTGCTCGCACGAGCTGACCCCAGTCCGCCTGCCTCCTCGCCTTGACAACATCCGCTGCCACTGACTGCACTGAAACGCTGCCACTGCCTGCCTTCTCGCACCAGCAGACCCTGCTGCCACTGCCTGCCTGTTCGCATTGTCAGTCCCTGCTGCCACTGCCTGCTCTCTCACGCGAGCTAACCACAGCAGCAATATAATTGATGATGTGCTCTTGACGCGCTATCCAGCACCGACAGTCGCTGCCATTGCCTGGCTTCTCGCACGAGCCGACCTCAGCAGCAGTGTAGCTGCTGATGTGTTGCTCCTGCGCCGTCCTCAGGCAACGACAACCGTTGCTGCCACTGCACTCCGTGAGCCAAGCGCTGTAGCTGAAAATGTCGGGCTCAACTTTGCCCCGCCGCTGGCAGCCACTGCCCTTTCCGCCGCAACCAGGCCCGAACAATATGCACCCAAGTCCGTGCTTGGTCCCTACCTAGGCTCTGCCTAGAAGGGTTCTTACTTTCTTTGCTTAAAGGGGCCGGGCAGTGTAACCCGCCCCGGGCGGTTCCCCCAGTCCCCTGGGAGCCAAGCAAAAGCAATAGCAAAGGTAAAAGCACACGCGCGGCTCCCCCAGTTCCGCTCCCTGGGTGCCAAGCAAAAGCAAAGGCAAAAGTGAAGGCAAAAGCGAAGGCAAAGCAAAAGCATAGCATAGCATAGCATAGCATAGCATATCATAGCGCAGCACAGCATAGCGCAGCATAGCATAGCATAGCCTAGCCCAGCCCAGCATAGCATTGCGCAGCATAGCATAGCAGAGCAGAGCAGAGCACAGCACAGCACAGCACAGCATAGCATAGCATAGCGCAGCACAGCATCCACGACTGCCGCTCCTAATAATGTTGCTTTCCTGAAGGCTCCAACTCCTAGGTAGGGTCGCACTAGGATAAGTTTCCTCACCGCTTCTGCATTGCATGCCGTGGCCTCCACTGCTGAATTTTCGCGCCGACAGACCCTGCTGCCATTGCCTGCCTTCTCGCACGAGCGGATCCCCGCCGTACTGTAGCGGTCCTCGGGCAACGACAGAAGGTGCTGCCACCGCCTGCCTTCTCGCGTTCTCGCACTGACGGGCCTTGCTGCCATGGCCTTCTTTCCCGCACGAACCGCTCCCAGCACTGTCGCCGATGACACCGCTGGTCTTGGCTGGCTCCTGCTCGCCTGCTTTCACGCACGAGCCGCTCCAGGCACTGCTGACGACACCGCTGACCTTGGCTAACCCCTGCTCGCCTGTTTTCGCGCACGAGCCTCTCCCAGCGCCGTAGCTGATGGCACTGCTCATCTTGGCTGGCCCCCGCTCGCTTGCTACCTCGCACGTACGATTCCGATGTTTTGTTCCTGCTTCGTCGTACTCGCCTGGACTCTGGCAGCGGTGCTGCGACTGGCGCCACGGCTCGCCAAGAGTTGGAGAATGGGCGGGGCGAGGGGAGAGGGGTGGAGAGAACGGAGGGTGCCCTGCATCCTGGAGGGTGCGCACGCGCCTGATCCTAGCAGTTTGGCTGATGACGTGGGGCGCCACGCCTCTTGATGTCGGCTCTCGCGAGCAAGGCCATGTCGAAGTTGGCCCGCGAAACACCCATGTGAGCCACTTGCAGAGGAGAGGAGAGAAGAGGAGGAGGAGGAGGAGGAGGAAGAGGAGGAGGAGGAGGAGGAGGAGGAGGAGGGGGAGGAGGAGGAGGATGAAGAGGAGGAGGAGGAGGAGAAAGAAGAGGGGGGCGGTCCTGGCAGAACGCCTCGCAGCGTCGCGTCACCAGGAGAGCGAAGCTGCTGGAGGCTCGGATTCAGACTCTTGGGGGATATAGGCTCACTGAGTTGTTCGAGTTCGGCTTTGACGAACTGCCCAGTCCAGCGAAGCGGAGAGGAGGAGGAGGAGGAGGACGAGAAGAAGGACGACTAGGACGAGGACGACACGACTAGGAAGAGGTCGAGGAACAGGAGGACGAGGAAGAGGAGGACGAGGAGGACGAGGACGAGGAGGACGAGGAGCAGAAGCAGGAGCACACGAATCAGCAGTTATGCGAGTATTGCCCCTGTGCGCGCTTCGCAAGACTCTGCGCCACACCCGGCCGGTTGGAGCCACAGCCGTGGTGCGAGTTAGAGGCGCCCGGCCTCGCCAGGACAGCCCACCACCCGCAGAGATCTGGGCGTGCGCGTGTGAGAAAATCATGGCGGGAGTGTTCGCACCGCTTCATGTCGGGACGGTCGCAATGGGCATGTGGAAAGAATGGGTGCAAAGACAGGCAGCATCTCCTGATCATTTTGAAAAGGGCCCGTTGTCGGCGTCGACGCGGACGTGGTCCACTTGGTCCATTTAAGACAAAAGGAAATCTGCTCAACAGCGGCCGCTGCCGGTTTGGGAAACATTTGAGCGACGACCGAAAAAATTGGCCGTTTGCACCAACATAGGCGCGTAAGCTTCCCGCTTAAGTTCGCGCGTAAGCGCCCTTGTCTCCAATGTGGCGTGGCGCGCCAGCGGCCCGCGTAAGCCACCGCGTAGGGTCGCTACGTCATCTCGCGTAAGGCACGTTTTTTTATCGTCGCCCATGTGTTGTTAGACATCGTACCCATTTCTTCCGTACCAGTTTCGGGCGTCCAAATCATTCGTTACCGCCTGGCCCGCCGCAGTTCTGACCGCGACGAGCTTCTTGCCGTTGCGACCAAAAACAAAATTGCTCGCCCAGCTTCGGGCCCCCGGTGTCTTGCGCGGATCGATCCCTAGCTCGAGGGACGAGGCAGAAAGGTGGACGGCCGAGAGTTTCAGTCGTGATCCGCAGTTGGAGCTCATTTGTTTGAATCCGCAGCTCACGTTGTTGGGTCCCTCCTCCTCCTCCTCCTCCTCCTCCTCCTCCTCCTCCTCCTGCCTCTCCCTCTCCCCCCTCCTCCGCGCCTCTGCTTCCCGTCCGCGTGCCAATTCTGCCACACCCCCTCGCCTTTTTCGTGCACCGTGGGGAGCTCCACCCACGGCCCCGGTGGAGGAACTCGCACGGCGCCGCCGCGCCCATGTCGACCCCTCACACGTCTCGTGGCCCGGAGGTGGTTCTAGTTATGGCCCCAGCTGGGGAATTCGCACGGCGCCACCGCGCCCTTTTCGGAGCACCCGTAACGCAGATCGTGGCCTATAGAGACATATGGGGAGCGTACTCGCATGGGGACACCGCGCCCATCCCGACACATCCCCGCGGGTCGTGGCCCACAGGGACATCCAACCAAGGCCCCAGCGGAGAACGGCGCATTGCGCCACTACACCAATTTCGGCACACCCTCGCACGTTTCGTGGCCCATAGGAAGCTTCACCTACGGCCCCATCGGAGGCTTTTGGCGCACCCCTCACGCGGATCGTGGCCCGTAGGGAGTTCCATGTGTGGCCCAAGCGGACACAATCGCATGGCGCCTCTACGCCCCTTGCGGCGCACCATTCACGCGGATCGTGGCCCACAGGAAATTGCACCCATTGCCCCAGGTGAGGAACTCCCATGGCATCATCGCGCCCATTTCGGCGCACCCTTCACGCGGATCGTGACCCATATGGGGCTCCGCCTAGTGACCCCAGTGGCGAAACTCGCGTGGCGCCACTGCGCCCATTGCGGCACACCCTTCACGCGTATCGTGGCTCACGGAGAGCTCCACACATGGCCCCAGCGGGGAACTCGCATGGCGTCACCGCGCCTCTTGCGGCGCATTACCCACGCAGATCGTAGCCCATAGGGAGATCGAAGCAAGGCCTCGGTGGAGAAACTCGCATGGTGCCACCACACCCATTTCGGCACACTCCTCACGCAGATCGTGGCCCCTAGGGAGATCCACCTACGGCCCCAGCAGAGGAACTCGCATGGCGCCAGCACGCCATGTTGGCACACCCCTCACGCGGATCGTGCCCCACAGGGTGCTCCACCTCCACAGCGGAGGAATTCGCACGGCGTTGCCCCGCCCGTGTCGGCACGGATCGCACCACATTGGTGTTTGTGCGCTTCTTCCGCAGCCTTCTATACAATGCCCCGAACTCCAATCCCGCGGCGAGCAGTGTATGATTAGAGGGCCTCGCTTTGCATCACACACAGCTGCAGGCTTGGGCTCTTCGCCAGGCTAAGTTTCACGACGTCGGGTCTCGGGGACGGGCTCCATCACACCAGGGTTGTGGGAATCGGGCCCGTTCGGCCGCCCACTCGGCTAAATCCCAAGCCCGTTCGGGACCCGAACTGCCTTAGACACCAGATCGGCTCGGAAGGAAGCACGGGGGAAGCGAGAAGAGGCGAGCCAGCATAAAGAATGCCGGCTCCAAGAACCTGGCAGCAACACGCAGAAGGTCGTGCGGGAGGAGTCAGCGCGCACAGGGTTTGTTCAACTCTCTTTTCTTCCCTCGCGAACGTAATGTGGGCGGTGCGCTAACTCGTACAGGGATGGGGATGTGCGATAGGGACCTTCGCTGTTGCACAATATTGGACCAGTGCTCTGCGTGCTGTGCCTCCCGTTTGATTGGAGCAGCTCTACGTGAGGATCGTCATGACAAGCATTAAACTTGGTCAGCGAATGGTCAGTGCATAATTTCACTGTTGTTGGTTGAGACATTATGTCAATGGTACTTCGCACACGTGATTTCTACACTTGCTGGTGCGAGTGAACATCATGGTGTTTCGGCGCTTCCGCAGGGAGGCTTTGAAACAGTTGTGATTATGTGTGCTTCGTGCTGTGAGCAGTTCCTGTTGGGCATTTCAGGTCTGGACCGGGTAGTTGTGCGCATCGAGACAGAGTCGCGTCCGAAATCAGCGTCTTTTGTCCGATTCCGAGGGTCGGAGCGACAAATGGACCCACAGGCGCAGTGATACTTGAGACCTCTTGCCGACGGCTTCCCTCGAGCAGCCCTGTACTTCGAAGCTCGTCCCACATCCGGTGTCGAGAGCGGCATGCGGCTCCCCCTTCCCATCCGTCCTTCACCCCGTAGCATTCCTCCCCCACCCCCTCCCTTCCTCATCCTCCCGCTCCTCCTCCTCCTCCTCCTCCTCCTTCTTCTCCTCCTTCTCCTCCTCTTCCTCCTCCTCCTCCTCCTCCTCCTCTTCCTCCTCCTCCTCCTCCACACGGCTCGGAAGCCCCTCGGTTCTGCTTATTTGGACGGCACCAGCGTGTGCAGCACGTGCCAGCCCTCCACGGCGAGCTTCGCAAGCCAGATGTGATGCCGTCTTTCTGGCGTGCGGGAGGTGATCTATCTGCTGCGCTCGCGGTGGCTGGTGATGAGGCGAAAGCGAACGGGCCCGAGTCTGGGTCCGGGGTTGGCGCCGTCCGTTGAAGACCTCGTCGAGCTCAATGGGCACATGTGATGGGCCTGTTTTCCCCCACCACCAGCATAAGAAGGAGGAGGAGGAGGCGGAGGAGGACCCCCTCCCCCTCCAACTTCTGGTGGTGGTGGTGGTGGAAAACAGGCCCATCAACAGCGCAGCGGCCGCGGCGAGCCGAGAATGGGCAGCTTTTGCAAGGGGCCATCTGGGAATCCTAAGCCGAAGGCCCGACGACGCTCCTCCGAATGACCCCTGCCATCGGGGCAGGGAAGCACCTGAGCACTTCTGAGCCCCGAGGTGGTGTGGGGTAATGTCCTGTTCTGTGCGCCTCGAGTTCTGCACAGCTCGCAGCCCTGGACACAGCCAGGGGGTTGGTGTGAGGTGAGCGGTGGCCCCATGCCGGCACGCGCTCCTGACATCAGCTGCACTGCATTGCCGATCGCTGGTCCTTCTCCCCCTCCTCCTCCTCCTCCTCCTCCTCCTCCTCCTCCTCCTCCTCCTCCTCCTCCTCCTCCTCCTCCTCCTCCTCTTCCTCCTGCTTCCCTTCCTCAGAGTGTTCCCGCCACGGACCTGCCGAGGGATATCGCCTCTCTCGGTAGCGTTGACAAGAGTCCTCACGATGGAGGCACCCTTTAGGTTTTGTGCGAGTGCTCAGCGGGCCAAGCCCCTCCACCGCGGACACGCGTCCTCGGTGCCTAAGTATCGCATCCCACAGTCAAGACGCTGAAATATGGAGCATTTTCGGCTCAGGAGGGGCACTGGATTTCGGGCCGTTCCTGTGATTGGGGTTGGGGGACCAGCTCGTGACCGAAGCTCGCCGTGGCCTCATAAGCCCCATCTCTTTCTATTGATGAAATTACACCAGAGGAAAACCCCAATCAATGGATGGTTCGAGATGGGATCGATAAAGAGGTCCATAAGGAGATCGACGAGGAACCCGGGAACCCGGAACCCACCGAAATCGGCCCAGAACCAACGACCATGAACCGGGAACCCAGAACCGGGAACCCGAGAACCCAGCCAGCCACCAACATCGGCGGGAAATGTTCGCCAAATCTTTCAATTTCGGCTAGGACCACTTCAGTGCAAGCACTGATTGGGGAATGATTCTCTGTTGGAAGCTGGAACATATACATTACCAGTGGCGGGCTGTTCTTCAATCCCAGGACTTTCTGAGGGTCGGGGACGACGTCGGGGTGGTGTGGTGTATACTTTTTGTTTCCGTTCTCTGGGGAAGCAACGACACGTGCATACACCAGGGTCCCGTGCACACCAGGATCCGTTTTCCTGTGCGAATTTCAGTGCGGGGTCGGAAAATGCGTCGATGTAAAGAGTTCGGCTCCTTACTTTGCCTCCCCCACACCCGACGGCGACGGCGGCGGCCGCGAAAGGCCCCCCCCCCCCGCAGGACAGGCCCGCCGCGTGCGCGGACGATCGCCCCTGGCCGGAGTCGGTGGTGCAGGCCCGCGCGGCCTTGAGCGCCGACGCCGACGACCCGGAGGAAGCTGGG